CAAAATCCCTGCATCGAAACAATGTTATCCGCCCCAAAAGATGTCATATGGAAGCATGTATTGTATTTTCTTGTGTTTTTTAGAAAACGGCGAGACTCATCTGTTTCATAAGAGAAAAGTTCTTTAAGAGGTTCAACTGGCTCGTCTATTGAAGGAAGGGCTATTTTCCCTCCCGAACAACACATGCCTGCAGATTCCTCTTTCCATTTAAGAGCACCGCAAATTCTGCATTCTTTATTCATCGATTCTATTTTTATAAGCTTATAGCTTTCATAATCAAGAGTTTCGTCATACTCAAATGCAGCTTTATCGAATACCCCCCACGTGTTTTTTGTGAGTATTACACGTCGCAGTTGTGCCCTTTCAGCAACAGAACGGTTGCGAGATTCAGCTGCTTCAATGGTTTCTGTTTTTCTCTGAGATGCCATGTAAGTTGCATGCTGAAGACGCCGAGCTTGGGACTGTTCGGGTATCTCAGCAGCCTGTTGAGATGTCAGATATTCAGCATGACGTCGACCTTTGGACTGCTCTGGTGTCTCAGCAGCTCTGTGAGCTGCCTCACGCTCCGCCTGTTCTAGCCTTCGCAGTTCGGCTTGTGGAAACGTTTCGTTAAATCTAGCTACTTTCTTTCCTCGAGCTGAATTAGAGCGTTGGGAAAGATTAGACTTACGCTTTCGCGGCATAATTCTTAGTAGGGGCTTTTTCTACAGTACGGCAGTTATTATTTTTATACTTAAAAAATGCAATGCCTATTCAATTAAAACTATAGCGTTATAATTAACTACTAACCACAAACAAAGTTGCAAATTTGTCCAAATGATGTAGTGTAGTGTGAAAGACTTAACTTATCTACTTTAAATACCAGAAGGGATAAAAGTGAGTTTTATTCTGAAATAAAAAAAATAGTGATTACAAAGCAAAAAATTAGAATCAAGCACGCAATGGTGCCTGGCGTAGACAAAACAGAGGGGAACGTTTTGTTTCATACATAAAAGATAGATATATGCTGACGTGGCATATCAGAAAAACTTGCAAATGGCAGAATTTTTCCTATTTACTTGACAATTATCATTATATTTTTTTTGGACATTTCACACAATATCTTTATATCTTAATAAATTATAGCCTATGTGTTATTTTGATTTATAAGCGATATTATTGTAAAGTTTCATTAAAATCCATTCAGTTGTTTTTGCGTGAAAGACCCCCAAACATCCTCACAAACTTTCGTGTTTATAATATATATTAAGATTTATCTTGGTGGAATTTTCAATCGTTTATAAAACACATTTTAAAGCTCTCAATTGAGCTGAAATTTTATATACATGATTATTTTGGATGACAATACAATAATTTAATTATAATTAATAAAAATTAGTTGATTAAAACTAATTATTTAAAGAATTACAAATACAGGCACGTTGGCATCATTTTTGGCGAATTGTGTCAAAACTTGAAAAGGTTTTTTTCTCACGTTTTTAAAGCAATAAGTTGAACTGAAATTTTATGTACACCATTGTTTTGGATGACAGTACGATACTTTAATAATAATGAATAAAAATTAATTACCACTTAATATTGCGATTCTGCCATATGTATATACATATTTATATTGATTGTAACTATTTAATAAAAAAGTAGCTAAAATAAAATTTTTCTTTGTTGATCAAAGTAAAAATTGACTTACATTTTTTTTTATATTACTTGTTAACAGCGACATTTACTCGTCGAGTGTACTCGTAATCACTGCATTGATGTTCGATTGAGCGCGCTTGGGATTGAACTTCGATACTACCAGTGCGGTAGTGGTAGTTCACATACTCCATGTATTTTGCCGTTTGTTGTTTTTTTAACACTTTTTAAAAAGTCATTTTTTAATTAAATAAATTAAGAAATCTAATCAGTAATTTTGATGATGATGACTAAAATGTTTGAAAAAAATATCAAAGTGAATGTAAATTACTAATTTAGAAACCTCATTGAGACTAAAAACTAAGATATATATTATGTATGTAGTGATTAATCTCTACAATTAATTTTCAGAAAGGATGTAAAATTATTTCCAGAAGTTCCCTTTTTACGCGTTATATAATAAGCTTATCAGAAAAATGATTACTAATAATTTAATTTCTTTCGTGCACTCGAAGTTAATTCTTAGCTATTAAAATTTAATTATTTTATGATAGTAATTAAAATGCAATCATCTGTTAAAGTAATTCACATACTTGTTTTCGAGATAATTGCTTCGAGGAACTTTTAATTTATAATTAAGAACATGTTTATGAAAAATCTGATATTGAGAGTGCCCCGAGGTTGAATTTAATGCAGGGTAGGAGAAAACTGACATACATTGTTATGAAAAAAATTGTGGAGTTATTAAAAATATGTTTTTCTTATGATGAAATAAGTAATTGTATCGTAAATTTATGCATGAATATTTTTCTGAGTAGAAAGTGAATAAATCTTTATTTCTTTTACTCAATTAATCCGCCAAAAAAATGAAAAATGTTCCATGAAAATCAAAATAGATGTTAAAAGAAAATAAAAAGTAATTTTTTTCGATTATTTTTTTAGAAACCAAGTTTCACTTTTCTCTCCTTTAGGCTCTAAATTTCTTTTTTAGTTTCCAAAAAATCCTTTTTAACGTGTGTGTTAATTAAATAATTTTTATTTTTATTTTCTCATTTAAATACATTCCTTAAAGCGATAAACCTTTCAATTTTCCTTTCATACTTTAAAAAAAATTCTAATTATTATAGCAAATAATGCGACTTCATTTTCTCTCAAGAACTCTTCAATGTTTTCATCGTACACAAATATTTTTTCATATAAATTTAAAAAATGCTGTTTATTCTTGTATGAAAATTAAATGTTCTTGCACTTAAACAATTTTTTTTATGCTTAGAGTTGCGGGACAACCTTTTCAGCCATAATGTTTTGTGGAATGTCACACATTTTTCTAAATATTTTTATGTGCACAAAAAAAGAAAAAAGAACTTGATGAAGAGTGTGTACCAGGGGTCGGTAAACTTGTAGCTGAGATATGCCAAACTAATCTTCTAATGTGATTCAGTGTGCCTCACAGAAGGAAATATTTCAAAACAATTCCATTCTCAAAACAATGGAAGCAGAATCAGGGAATAGATACGAAGAATGAAGAATTAGTTTTTTATATATTAATTTGGCTTCATTTAAAGATATTTATCTGAGCAAAAGCAAAACACACTGATGGAATAAATTATGAGAATTTGCATATTTTATAGAATTGTATGAAAAGAACTAAACCGAATGAAAACCACTGCTTCTAGATAAAAATGCCTTGTACGGCAAATACATAAGCATACACGTATGTATAGGTGGATCTAGCAGAAAATAAGGCTTTATAAGCGCGCGTAAGTTAAAACGCATTTCATTCGCCAGTCTAATTTAAGATATTCCCAATAAATCATGATCAAGTGATTCCAACGACTACGACTCTCGTGTCAACTGGACCCACCATCTCAACAAGAGACGGCCCGTAACGTCAATGGAAAAACGTTCCAACGACACTCAAACCTACTGCACAGATGTATATCAGTTGCAGTAATGACTGGAAAAGCATCCTCCGCTAAGTATCGCTCAGAAAGTTCATCAACAGCAAAAACAACTCTCATCTCTAAGAAGGGGGCAACTTCCGAAAGTTGCAAACAACAAAGTTTCGAATAGTTTTCCAAAGCATGTACGGAGTAGACATTGGTCGGTAGTTCAGTGGTTAAAATAAACGCACCCCTACCAAGGTTCCTCAATATTATATTTTCAGCGAGTTTGAAAACACCCCAAAATCACTCACAACTGGACGCAACACTGTAATTATAACAAACGACTTTTGTACAAACAACCCCCCTGGACATTTATGTTTATCCCACATGCATTATATACTTCATCAAAAGGGCATTTCTCATTTTAGTTAGAGCTTAAGCCGGAACTGGTGTAAATTAAGATTAATGTAATGGCAATCTTACTTGATGTATTGTTCATTCCAAGAGGCCGGATCCGGCTATCATAGCGTCCCGGACCAATTATGCTGTCCAGTATTCTCTTTTCCAAGGCTCTGAAGTTTGGTTTCTCCCTTTGAGGAAGAAAAGGGAATAAATTAGTATGATGGAGTAAACACATGCAGAACAATTAATTAAATATTAAAACATGCTTATGAGAATATATGTACATATGCGATAAAAATAAATGAATTACTGTGATTCTAATTATAGCTTTTTTAATAATGCTTATTATTATTAATTATTTAAAAGACAGCACTTCGGTGAACTGCATTAGATTTATAGATAGGAGTAAACTCATTTACTACTATCAGAACCGTAATTTTGAAAAAGTGCGAAAATGAGTATTTTTTTTATACTTAATGTCAGTTGAATTAGAATATACGAGTACATGCACAATTGTTTGAACAATATTATTACTAGAAAAGTTATTTAAATGCCTCTTTTTGTCAAACAAGGAAGAAAGAATAACATAGTTTTCAATCATTCCCCACTTGTAAAAAATGTTTCTATAATAATATTTTGCCTGTACATAACAAGGACTTCTCTCCAGGGGCTGAACTAAATTTTTTTTAAAAAATTCCCATTATTTTCAGAGTTACGATCAGCCAAAACATAAAATGGTGTATTTTGTTAAAATTTATCTACTCTGCTACATTAAAAAACAAGTAATATAAAAAAAATTAAGTCAATTCCTATTAGGTCAACAAAGAAAATTTTTTATTTTAGTTATTTTTTAAAGTTACAATTAATATATATATATATAAATATGTATATACATATGACACAATCCCAATATTAAGTGACATAATAGAAAGCGATTTTCCTTGCAATTTTCAATTTTACCTTACTATATAGGGTACAGAGCTATTATTTTTGATTTTGTTACTATTTATTCATTAAATAAATCTAAATATTTTAATAAAATATTGTGGCAAAAAGAAATCACATTCTCAGAAATGAGGCCAATCCATGTGGGATTCGAAACCACGACCTTTGGATTAGAAGTTCAATGCGCTACCCATTGTGCTCCAGAGACACAACAAACTATTTTATTTTCTATGCAGGGTGTTGGACTATTATTTTTGTTCGTTATTTATTTAAATATTATATTTATGAATTTATTTAAATTTTATGAATGAATTAATTCTTGTGAAAAAACATGATTAGCATCAAGTGTCATCCACAACAAATTAAAAAAATGTAGTTGAACTTGAATAGATGAATAGAAAGTATTTTATTAACGATTAAAAATTTGAACAAGATATATAAATAAATAAATGTATATAAGGGAGAGAGTGAACTTATAGTAGGAATTGAAAGAATAAATCCACTTCTAAATTATGTAATTCTAAAATCCTAATTCAGCCCGTGAACAGATGCATATAGGCAACATATTATTGTAAAAGCATTTTTCTTCAAAGGGGAGAGTGTTTTGCAAAAACTTTTTTTCTCCATTTTTTGCCAAAAAATTTCATTTTAATATTTTTTTGTGTAATAATATTCTTAAAACAATTTTATATGTATATTTTATTTCCCCAACTCACTATATATATATATATATATATATATATATATATATATATGATAGTTATATATATATATATATAGCTGATAGTTATATATATATATATATATATATATCAGTTTATACACTTTTTTCAAAATCACGGTTCCGAACGTAATCAGTCCCCTAATATAAAAAAGAGAAAAATCTCACGAATACAATTAATTCCATGTAGGAAGTCTTATATAAATTAATACAATGATAATTATCATCATAAGTTGAATTATGCTTTTTCTAATCGTGTTGTTGCTCATTTTTTTATTCTCAGAATATTTTATTGATATAAAAAAAGAGATGGAATATCCAAATTAACGAAAAAACAAACAAACTTGGAGCTAAAATATATTAAAATCATTCAAGAATATGATTGGAAATCAAAATATTTCTAGCGAAACAGAATCAGTTTGACCAGACAATAATTGGAACAAACTAACTTCGAATGTTACTGGTAAAACAATGCAATGAAATTTTTTTGCACTGCAAAAAATCTGGCAATTATATTTTTTTCAACTAATTAAACATTACAGGGAATTATTGAATGCTCCTTCGGTTCTGCTTTTACACGTTTCTTACATTATATATGTCGTAATGCATTACGCAATTAACGGCAATTAATACAAACATTCCATTAAACATTCTCATCCTAGTAAAGAAAAAAACCGAACTTTGACTATATATAAAGGTAGATCACAGTTATATAAAGAAAAAAAAAAGTTAATAAAGACCTGTTTTTGCGGAAAAGATGTTCTGAGGTATGGAGCTTAGAAGAAAAATAATTGAAAAATAATTATAATTTAAAAAATTTAATATTATCACAAAAAGGGTTGAATTTTTTCAAATAAAATTGGAAAAGATTAAAAATTTTAGTTAGATGATTTTAGACTCAAAATAATATTTTTTTTTACAAAATAATCATAAGCGATGATTACTGATTGGTGTGTATTGAGTAGTGTAACATTATACAGTGTACAGTGTTACATTGCAACATTTGATAATCTTTCCCTCTGCAGTCGAATCAGTCCAATCCAAGCTGTTTTTCGTCTTCCTCATCATCGTGCACCGTCATTTCAACAGTTCTTTTTGTTTTTTAACAAGTACTAAAGAAGATGTTAAATCAGGGGTGGCCAGCTATTTTGGTAAGAGTGCGCCTATCTGATAATAAATCATTATGCGTGCCTCTTCCAACTTTTCCAACAAACAAAAAGATATAAAAAGTGGAAAAATGTTACTTATATACAGTACAGTCCCGCTAATCCGAACACGGCTAATCCGAACGGCTCCGCGGAAAATTTTTTATAATTTTAAGGACGAAAAAATCGGTGAATATTTCAATATAAAACAGTGTAAACCTTAATTCAAAACAGTTCTTTATTTAATATTCACGCACTGTACATCAAGTTATGGTACAAATTTTAAAATGGAATAAACTACAGAACAGAACACTAATGTTTAGTATGAAAAATTGTACAACATAAGATTAAATATAAAATATGTACAATTCAGTACAGTACTGATAATGTAGTGAACAAGTACCTTATTACATTAATTCAGTTATTTTTTTCTGACGCAACGAAGACAGTCTTTTCGATGATGCGTAATTTCGCTAGCGCCTCATAAATAACACATCAGCTGGTGTAGTGTCGGGCTGTTGCTCCAAATAGCGCAGGGCGAGGTCAAGGGCAGCTGCGCTGTCTGCATGTGGCACCACGTCCTTCTTATCGCATTGCGTCTCGTCGTCACTCCCCTCCTCCTCCATTAGCTGTTGAGTCACTGCCGCAGCTATGTTGTCATGAGTCAGAAATTCGGCTGTTTCCCCGTCTTCTTCCATCCATTCATTGATGTCTCCAACTGATGCTTTGCCAACATTAAACTCTGTAGCCAATTTTGTCACACCTTCACCTTTATCTAAACGCTTTAGAACCTCTAGTTTGTCTTTAAGAGTAAGTGTTGAGTGTTTACGCTTACTCGCTATAACAATCTGTTTACGTACACTGTATCACAGATAAATGTCCAAAACACACAACAAACTGTTTTCACTGTAGAATATCACACTGTAACACTGTTATTAACACAGAGATAAAAGCAGACGAGTATAGAACGAGCGCGGAACGTCTGACGGCCAACAGTACGGGCACACGCACACGCAGTAACACTGACACACTAAGTTAGGAGTGGTGGAGGGAGGACACACGCGTCGAGGAGTGGGAGTACAGTCCACGCGGCAAAAAAGCGGGCGCGTACGCTCGCATTACGACAAAATACATAGACACAATAGACCCGTACTCCCGGTTCAAATAGTGATTTCGCTGTTACTCCGGCTAATCCGAACAATCACGTAATCCGAACAGGGGTCGGTCCGATATTGTTCGGATTATCGGGACTGTACTGTATATATATATTATATATATATATATATATATATATATATATATATATATATATATATATATATATAGTCTAATTCTCTACAAACAAGAGATAAACATTTATCAATCACATTCGAAAAAAAACACATAGATAGTAAAAAGATCATACATGAAGGACACTAGATTAAAAATTATAAAATGGATGTATATATATATATATATATATATATATATATATATATATGTACATATATACGGGAGTTTTATACAAATATCATATCTTTTTACGCAAGTCACAATAGTGAAAACCTAAAAATAATATAGTAAACACTTAGATTTTATTGTTAATAATTTTTTTTATTTTGTTTGTAATAAACTGTTTTAGATATAAAAGGAAAATGAGTAACTTCAAACATTTAATTTTAATTTATTATTAAACACATTCATCTATATTAGGATTAGTTCTTGAAGATTCCAGCTAAATTTGGCTATTTTAGGTGCATATCAATTAATTTTGAGTGATATTTTGATTTTATTAAATATGTAATAAAAACATTTGTCCACAAACATATTGACGCTTAAAACCTATCTAAATGAGCGACTCTGTGGCGCAATTGGCTAGAGCGTTCGGCAGATACCTGAAAGGCTCCCGGTTCGAATACCGGCATAAGCGTTGCAGAACAATGAATTATTATTTGATTTCTTTAATTATTACTTTAATTGCTAATACCTTCTAGATGTTTCTTTAATTTGCTGGAACGGCGTTCCAGAATATTCCATTATGCTATAAAAGAGCCAAGAGCTCGACAAGATGGCAGTTCTTGGTTTTGTAACCTAGAATGAATGCTTCATTAATAAATACTTGGGATAAAAAAAATCAATACGTATCTATCTTTCTTTCTACGTGACAATATTTTGATCTAAAACTACAAGAATGTCTGACAGCGAAGTCATGTAAATTTGGAAAATTGACTCTGAGTTCAAGTTTCTAAAACTCAATATAATTTGGAACTCTTGATTTGAAATAAGTTCCTTTTAGTTATTTTTCAGTCTGGTAAGGTGCTGTAGGGAGGAGGGAGGTAACAATTAACGTCTTGTAGAGAATTTGAAAAGGGATTTATGAAAAGATCAGTATTTTTTTATTATCTTGAAAGTCGTCCAACCCTAGAACTGAATGAATCCTTTAAAATGAATATTAAAACCACAAATCTATTTTAGCTCGACGCATTTATAGTTTTGGTTTATAACTGATGCATTATTGTGAAACATGTTAAGCTTTTTCCTTAAAAATAGAAAAAAAAGATGCAAAAGTTTGTTAACAAAAGTTGTGTGACCAACTAGAAAAGGAAAAATTCTAATCCCCCCCTGTAATTTTAAACTTAAATTATTTAAACGTTCCATAATATCGGTAGGAAAAGCTTAATCCCACTGACAATCTTCATTTTTGAGTAGTAAGCACTCTCACACACACAGGAACACGCTCCTTGAAATTCCAAAATCACGTGAATGCATTTCTTTCAGAAAACCAGCGCGCACAACAACGAAAGAGCCTACTTTACGTGATAATTTCCTATTGCAGTTCGATTAACTGCGTATTTAATTGAAGTCATTTAAGAGGTTTTTTGTCTGAGATGACCGCATTTTAATAAAATTGTTATTTCATAATATATCTTCAAATGTTTCAATAGGTCTTCAGGATGCACATGTGATGAATATTTCCACAAAGAGGCCGACTCACAGCTGGGAGATGAAAATGTTACACCGCAATGTGGCACACGTGCTGTGGATCGACCACCCCTGTGCTAAATGTATCTATTGTCTTCTCTTATAACTGTTTAATATGTGACCTCTCATTGCAATAAATGTTTAAGTACTAAAATGCTGTTCCACTTTAACAACAACAAAAAAACGCTATTTGACTTTTTACCTTAAAAAAAACTCAAATTCCTTAACTCCATTCCCCTTTTGGTAGCACTTAACATTAAAGTTTTATTTTTACTCCCCCTTTATTTATATACCACAGAACATCTTTTATGCGTAGGTTTGTTTGAAATTCAGGAAAAAAAATTCGATCCACTTTACTGTATTTGTTAACGAATA